TGTCTGTGTCTGTCTGTGTCTGTCTGTGTCTGTCTGTGTCTGTCTGTCTGTCTGTCTGTCTGTCCATCTCTCTATCTATCCATCTATCCATCCATCTATCTATCTATCTTATCTTATCTTATCTATCTATCTATCTCATCTATCTATCTATCTATCTATCGATCGATCGATCGATCGATCTATCTATCTATCTATCTATCTATCCATCTATCTATCCATCCATCTATCCATCCATCTATCCATCCATCTATCCATCCATCTATCCATCTATCCATCTATCCATCCATCTATCCATCTATCCATCTATCCATCTATCTATCTATCTATATACCCTAGGGCTCCAACTACCTCCTGAGAAGATGGTTATGGTGGGTTTGTTGGGTCTAACCACCTTCTGAGGATATGGTTGGAGGTTCAGGGATATATCAAGCATGCTCGCTCAAACACAACAGTGCTTCCCGCCCGGGTGCGGGTGGAAAAACACTGTTTCCCATGTTTCAGCCAAAGGACAGCGCACATGTTGCGGGTGTCCACTTGGTGCTTCTTTGGGAAGGTACATCAACTGGGAATGTCCAATCCAAAAAAGGACGCTGGCGCCAATCCCCAAAGGACGCTGGGGCCGAATCCGGTTTGACGCTCCACCCGAAGTCATCCGAAAAAAATTCTACACCGGAAAAGGAAGACGTGGATGGCATGGCCCCGATTTTTCATGACCCTGTTCCGAAGACCAGACAGGTGATGAACTCATGTGAACTCCACTTCCGTGTGAGTTACGTTGTCCTGCTTGTACATCTCTCGAAACCGGACTTCATCACTCGTCCCGGGGATTGGCATGTCGCCAAGTGCAGCTCGCAGGTTCAAGAAACCTTGTGGAGTCGAAGCCTCAGCCTTTCCGAGTCGAACCATCCTTGACATGAAGACTCTGCAGGACATACTTGGCGACCGGGAGGTTGCAGGTGCTCTTCATGAACCTTTTCATGGAGGTTCCTTGACATGAACCCAGAAGAGATATGATGGTGGTTCTGTTTTGGTGCACAAAAACCCAGACACTCCATGTGTAGAAGATGTATGTGCCTACATACACCCCCGAAACCATCCCAAGTAGGTAAATATGCCTTTGGGTATTATAATGCCAATAACCAATAGTATATTGCTTGTGGCCACCTGGTGCACCGGAAAAAAATGCCCCACGCCCCACATGAGCACGTTTGCTGTCGGCCCACTGATCGGAGAATCCCAACAACGAACCCTCAGGAGGATCCAACTCATGTGAATCTTTGGAGTCCGGACCTTGTTGAACCTTCGTGGCGATCAGAAAAAGGTGAAGGAGCCCTTTGAAATTGTGATTATTAAGAAAAACTACAGTACACTCATCACAAACATCCACAAACCACCAAATGTAGCTAGGCCATGCTAAGTCAAGTCCATATCTTCTGTCCCATGGATTCGTTTGAGAAAAACATCCGACAGCGACCCACTGTGGGTTGGTTCCGTTTCTTCCGCAGCTGGGGAAGCTCCAAGCAGGCCGAACCCCGGCCGCCGAGCAGGGCGGTCGATTTCAGCCTACCACCGAAGGATTCTTTCATATTCATCCATGCGCGCGATGTTTTTTCCTGTGGCACTTCTCATGCTGGCCTATGTTGCGTCGCTGGGCAGAGATTGATGTCGATGTTGAGATGATGGTCAGAATGATGGGGTTTGGTTGAGTACGATGTCAGTAAGGGGACACCCATGTGTGGTTTGTTTGTGGATATTTGTGGGTTTGGTGAAGATAACTTTGCCAAACAAATGTATCGCTTTGCACATGCCCAAAAACAGTGGAAACTCTGGGTTCATTGCTGCGACTATCCCAAATTAGCGCAAGAGTGAATGTCAACGGGCTTCGAGGCTGGCACACCCTGCCATAAATGGGAATATGAACAGATGAATAGGAGTCTCCAACAACCAACCGTCAGACAGCCAAGCAAAAGGAAGAGAGCCTAGGACAAGGGATTGTTTTGCTGAAGGAATTACTCTAAGCGACAGCGAAACTGGCAAGAAATGGCTAGTGGGGGTGGCTTGCCAGTCTCTATGTACATACTATTGTGATCTATTGTTTATATAGGTTTTGGGAGGGTGATCAACTCCTTTGTGTGTGTGTGTTTGTTTGCTTTTCACACAAGTTGATTGATCAGACTTATATTATACAGCTTTATGACTATGTTTTATAACTGATTTCTGAGAAAGGCCTGTACTAACCGTCATTAATCATCCACAGCTACTGGTAATGCATACCCAACTTATATATATATACATAGATGTTTGATGATGTTTGGTCTCGTGTTTCATGCGCTTTTTACAAAAACAAAAACAACACTTTTCCAGCGCCCTGGCTGTATGACAGGGACAGACGGTGGAATGGAGTGTGTGTGTGTGACTACTTGCGTGACGTGACCTTCATGGCGGGTGCTCCTTCGTGATAGTTCGCTGGGACCCTTCGTTGGGACCGTTTTCCACGGGTTCAAACCGCTACCCCACGTGCCGGCACCGCTACCCACCGTGGCGGCACCCCAAACCATTTATGTTCGAGTTCACGTACCAATCGCCCCTATTTCTTGGGTGAAAAACGCTTAAGCAGGTGATGAAAGGCTCAGATCATAGGACATAGGCCAGGAGAGTTGCAGCTGTTGGACCAAATATCGGAGCAGTGATTTCCCTTTTCCCATTCTCGAGCAAGCACATGGCATGATTTCAAAGTGGTTTCACAGCCCTTCACCTCCCTAGTACCCATTATACATGTTGAATATCCCAGCTGTTTCAAACAACAAACAGGGTGTCGGTCGAACTACGGCTGTTGTTCCTTAAGCACCTACGAAGCTTAAACCGAGTCACCGATGTGTCTTCAAAGGCTGGATGGCGACACTTGGACCCGCTGAGCTTCGTTCACGCCCAAAAGATGGGGCAGGGTCCCACTGTGTATTCTTCATGGGTTCTGCCCTCCAAGCCATGGGTCTACGGATCGGTCTGTCCTAACCTACGCAGAGATCCTTGAGAGGGGTCAGTCTGCCTCTCTTGAGCTACACAGCCACCTTCCCACCTACTGACCGCCTGGCGGCCGCCCACTAGGCGATCGCGCCGCGACGGGGATTTGGCCGAGATGCTGCAGAGCAGCTCTGCTTTGCGCACGCTGAGCAGCTCCGCCTCGAAGAGCTCCTGCTGGTATGTTAATCGGAAGCCGGGGAATGAGTTCTTTCATGCGATCTGAGCATAGTCTAGTAGACTCTTGATGGATTTCACCCCCTACATTAACAGAATGTTCAATTCAAAATTAGGGGTAGTAATCAAGAGCCTACATGAAAGCGTCCGGGAATGAGACATGAATGAACAGCCCTATTAGTTCAGATCAATAATTCATGAATGAACCAGTAGGCCTGGAACGCGATGGAGAATGAGACTCACGAGACACGCAATGAGACGTGTGGTTTGCCAAGAGACGCTTGAGGGAGTAGGGGGGTTGCGGTTTGGCAGTGGGATTTGGTGTCTCGAAAGTGAAAGAACTTGTTTAGTATACATAAGAAGCCTCTAAGACCTGCAAGTGTCTCAAAAGAGTAAATGAGGAGATACATGTCCTAGACCATCATAGACCATCGATGTATGGCCCTTTTTTCCTAAATTGGGGTGCTTGACCGGCTTGACCCTTGGATCAATGTAGGCATGGATGATTCGGCTTTGGATACAAGTAGGTTTGTATGTTTGACTCTTCATCCGTGCTTGGTTGGTTTCGAGCCTCACAAGAGGGACCGAGCCATGGGAGTCCGAATCCCATACTCTTCAAGACCATGATTTAACATCAATCTCTCTCTAGTCTATTACATATACAGTAATATAATGTAAGTTATAATGTAATATACAAGATTATATTGCAGCTTAAAGTCATCACATTGAGTCATCACGGCTGTCAATAATTCCTGCTGCCTCTACTTCTATCCGCACGTTCGCGTCCTGCCGGCGAGTGCGGCACCGCGAAACCGATCCGATATCATTGCCTACATGACTGAGTTTTTGTTGGTGAATGTCAGCAAAAAAATCACTTGGATGGATCGTCTGGGGAAGGAATAGTGACACCCCACAGGCGAAACCGACGATTTGTCCAAGTTCCACCTGGATTTTCCAGTGATTTATGGCACCACGAGTCAGCCTTTGCGCTTAACCGGGCTCTCTCACTGCCTCCGATTCCGTTTAGTGGGAGCCTCGCCAGGAAAGAGCTCGCACAGCTGCTGGTGGAGATCAAGCCAGCGTGTCTTGAAGCCAGCGACGAGTGCTTGCCAAAGCTACAACAGCTGCGGCGCGGCCACTCGTCATAAAGATATGAGGACGAGTAGCTTTGCCCCGTGGATGGTCATGAACATCATGTCATCATCTTACACATTAAACCACAGGTCGTACATTGGAACATGATGGTACATGCTTTCTTGCTCCATGTGTTTTTGTTCGGTTTGGGCAAGCTTGTTTCCCGGTTTGCATCAGTTTCATGAGTGTGTGTGTGTGGTTTGGGACTGCAAGCATGCAGCATATCTATTTGTCCATGCAATTCATTGTGTTTCAGGTATTCTGTTAACTCTATACTATACAACGTATATGCCTATACATGTATACATCTGGTGAAGGCACCACAGTGGGTGCCCAGCTCTGAAATCCACAACGCTAGACAGTTTGTTCCGAGGCATCCGACCCTATGTGCAAGAATTGATCAGCGATTTCAGTGATCACTGGGAGCCCAACGCCATCCGGGCAGATGTGGCTCCGAGCACGAGAGAAGGGAGGGAGTTTTGGGAGCAGTTTGGGTAGCGAAAGGGGAGCTGGAATGTCAAGGAAGCCCATTCATAGGGAATAACCCTCTGGTGGCATCTGGCCAACCGAACCAACTTGCCAATTGATGGTGAAGCCCGCCCAAGTCACCATTTTGTTCTGATCAGGACACCTGCGACCCTGCGACCCTGCGTGTCCGGTCACTTCTGAACCCCAAGTCAGTGGTGTTCGAGTCCGGTCCGCGTGTTTCTTTTCCACCTACTTCAACTGGGTGGAAAGCATCAAAGGTTCACATGCCAGAAGAAGCACATATCACATGACGTCCTAGTCCTAGCCGTTTTTTAGCCTCACACCACATGTGGGCGTGACCGAACGCAGAAGCTTTTGCAAGGCTTCGACCGCATTACAAACGAATGCCATGGCTGCCACTGCCTATGCCAGTTTTTTGCTTTTGTGCACTGCATGTTTCAATTCTATGCCACGATGTTCCAAAGATGTTCCCACCTGGAAGCACCAAATGCTCGGAGAAGGCGTTCTATTCAGCGCTTCCTTTGATCCTTCCGCCCGATGGTCCACCTTTTTGGACGAGTGGGTTTCACCTCGGAGAGCTGCAGGTGGTGAAGGCAGATCTGCTGAAGCCTTGCGCTGGGGCGAAGCACACCATGGTCTACATGCACATTTGGTTCCTTGGAAGAAGGGATGGGTTGTTCTGGGACCGGACCCTTTGGACACCATCGGGGCCGGTCCACTGACCACCGCCCCCACAGAGAGGAAGAGCCCGCCGCTCTTCGTTCTTTGCCGACGGATTCCGGGCGGCCTCCAGGAAGTCGGCGGGCTTTGCACTGATCCGAAATGTCCGGAGTATCTGGGCGCCAAAAAGGGGACGGTCGCTGGGCTCTGGGGTTGCCTCTCAATGTGTTCATGGGGTTGGGCTGGCTGGTTTTTTTCTTTTGTTGACAGGTTACAGGACTTCTCAGGCCTATAGGTGAACAGTATCTATACAGTACTACTCTAGACCAGGGTTTCAATTGTTTTGCATGCGTTTGCTCATTCTAGTCGTCCTTCTTGCTGGTGTTTCTCCTGGAC